TTATGTTGGCATGCTTCCAATCAGAAGGTACCACACCTTCAGATAAGGATTTTTGAAACGGTAAAGTTAAGGGTCGACAAATAATATCCCTCATCTCTTTTAACACTTTAGGTAAGATGCCATCAGGGCCCTGTGATTTATTTATTTTGAGCTTAGCTAGGCTTTGCAAAACATCAGCTTCAGTTATATATATTTTAGTTTTAGATGATGTCGGACTAGTAATAAGAACTGGTAAGTTACTAGTGTCCTCAACAGTGAATAACCGTGCAAAACTATCATTGAACTCATTTACTATATAAATGTTGTTTTCAATTATAAGACCCATACTATCCTGCAGATTAGTAATTTCAGCTTTTAGAGCTCTTTTAGAGTTAAAATACTGGAAGAAACTTTTAACGTCATCCTTAGCCTCCAATGCGATCTTCCTTTCGACATTCCTGTGTAAATCATGTGTGTCTGATCGCCACAGTATCCTTCAGTTGTCTTTGTATTTTTACTGTTAACTCAATTACCTGTATGGGCTCCTTTCTCCTAGCACAGTTATTATTATTATTATAATAATAATAATAAAGTTAAGCTTGTCTGTGCTACAAAACTATGAAAACAAATCAGGGCTTGCATAAAAAGAATGTATTACTGAAGCAGTTCACTTTTAACTATGACCAAAGCAATAACAGTAGCAGATATAGAGTGGTACCTCGGTTCTCGAACTCACTAGAACTCAAATTTCTTAAAAGTCAAACAAACCAGTTTGACCTAGAATTTGATCTGAATATCAGAAGTCGAACTGTGAACGCTGACCTAGTATAAATTGTACGTGCCAGGAAATGAGTCATACTATAATGCAATTCTTACTTGAATGCCTTCTTCACAGACTGGACGATTAACTAAATAAAGCAGCTCAACATTACGGTAACTTACCAATAAATAACCCACTAACTTACGTGTACTATTAGAGCATTTATGTCATTTATTTAAACTTTATTTTACCAGGTAAATTAACTGAAAATCAGTTCTCATTGCTTTACGTGATATTCGGGAGAAATAGCAGATTACGCATCGGAACTGCCTGGGATACAAACGTCATGCGTGTAACTAAATTCTTTAGCCAATAAGGACAAAGGTCTGTCGTCACGGAGGCGGTTCCAGTTTGTGCAGCCGGGTGAGAGGTCGCAATGCATCTAACCGTAATGCATTGCGTCAGGATCAGAATGCATTGCTTTAAGCCAGCGCTGTAAGCAAGTCAAACGCAACCAATGACTGGACTGGGGAAACAAACTGAAACGCGGACTTAATGCAAAGGACTAATGACAACAACCAGAAACAGCTGATCACATGGGGATCCCACATGAGGTTAATGAGGGGGCGTGGCACATGGAAGGAGCAGATGATTGGGGCAGGACAGGGGTAATGTTGGGATAAGATCTTTATCGTTTTGGAAGCCATTAAGAAAAAAATGCTCTTCTTGTTTTATCCTGTTCATTTTGTGTTTAAATGCTTAAAAAAAAAAACCAAAACATATTTAGGTGTAATTTTGGGGGGTCAGGAACCAATTAATTAGTTTTCCATTATTTCTTATGGGAAAAATTCGATCAGAACTCAAACTTTTTAGGATTCGATCCGGAGTCCGGAAGGGATTAAGTTCGAGAACCGAGGTACCACTGTTGATGCAAATGTTGCTGCAGTGTGTTCTGGAACTTATAATGGTAAATTACGTACACAGGCACTGAATCATTATGCTGAATTATCTTGACTTATGCTGGTTGAACACATTAAATTATAATAATTATAATAGATTAAACTTACATTTCGATTTATACATTTTATATTTTCAGTATTTGTCAATACAGTCTATAAGGGTGATCACTTTTAAGCACAAATCCCAGCAATTTATCCTGGAAAACATATATGATTTCAAAGCATCTCAGTCCGAAAGCACTTCACTAAACAAATACTTTACCAAAATATTACAATGCGGGCATATTACCTCTATTTCATCTGTTAAGCAACAATAACACTGAGGGCCTTGGTGTGTCTTGGCAGACTACGGTGTTGTATCTGTAATCAGAAGGTTGCTTGTTCAAATCCCATGGGTAGCAGAGTGATTTCACCATTGGCCCATTGAACAAGGCCCAAAACCCCAGTTACTCAAGGGATTGGTTGACCCTGCTCTCTGAATTGTATGTCGCTTTGGAAAAAAGCACTTGCCCAATAAATACATGTAATACTCTAACTGCCAAGACCAGTATTACCTTGAGATTACATTAGTCTTTTTTGGTTCCGCCAGGTGGATGCCCATGGCAACATCTTGCTGACCAACCTTGGGATCCACAATGAGGTGAGTGGTGCAGAGATGCTGGCGGGCCTGGGGGACCCACGGGCCACCATGTTCTCCTACGACAGCGCCAGCATCCAGTACCGGAAGCCCATGGCCAGCCGGGACCTTTACAGCCGACCGGCCGTCGACCAGCCGCTGGGCCACAAGAAAAGCAAACTACGCCGCAGGGCATCCCAGCTCAAGGTCAAGATCCCCGACCTGACGGACGTGAACGCCATAGACAAATGGTCCAGGGTGATCTTCCCCATCACCTTCACTTTCTTCAACCTGGTCTACTGGCTGTACTACGTCCACTAGGGGGCGCCTGCTTTACACTTTATATATTTTCTCTCTAAAGGCTCTCCTTTTTTTTTTTTTTCTTTTTCAGAACTCTAAGGTAAGGTATTCAGCCATTGTTTATTTTTCCATAGCAGTATAATTTTAAGAAGAATATGGAGCTGTATGCTCCACTTCAGTGTAAATATATTTTAATATATAAAACATAAAAAGGATAGAGACAATAATAGTATTTTATTTTCCCATAATTGTACCTGCACATTGAAAACAGAATCATATGGACCTAGTATTTGAATAAGGCTCAGATGGATACAGAAGTGCTCTTTCTGTTCTGATGTTAGGGGGTCCAACCTGTTGCAGCAATGGCATCTGACCTCGCAGATTCTGTGCCAAACCGGACTGTGATGACTTGAAGATTTGTGAACAAAACACTGTGTTATTTCTTTGTAAAGAGAATATACCCATTTGTATGTGGCAACAGGTTTCCACGTTCTGGATGCGGCAAGGATGCTCTGTTTAAGAAAGCAATTAGCTCTGACTCACTAACCTTTTGTTTTTGATGAATGTTTTGTTTTACCGATGTCCTGTGACAAAAAACTGCCCTGGCTGATGAGCAGATTCTATTTTGTCTTCATCAAGGGCGCTTTGCTATTTTTTTCTGTTTGACGCAAGCAGTCATATATTAATTTCCCACTAGTCTTGCATATGCCAGCATTCATTCTTGCATGAAAACACTGAGCTTGTTTGATTGCTCAACCATTTAGCTGCTTAGATTAACCTGAAGCAATGGAAGGCTTCATTATTTATTCATCAATTCCATTCTTTCAAAAAATATAGAATTTAGGCACATAACTGCTATAAATTGAAATTCATTAGTCTGGGATTATGTAAAATGCAAATTTCAGGTAAAAAAAAAACAAGTTACACTTTCAAATCATTGACAAATACACAAACAGGGTGTTCTTTGGGAAACCACTGTAGAGATTCCTCAAAAAAATTACTTTCCAGGCGTGATCACACCTTACTTTTTGAATGCAAAGTCGTGTTTCATCTATCTAATATTTTATGTACTTTAAATATATAAATAATAGTTATGATGAAGAATGAAATTGAAGTGCTGTGGGACAAAATTTAATTTACATGCATTGAGTCAAGGAAAACCTTATTCATTTATTAAGCAGGTGCACTAATCTATAACATATTTTAACAACTACTTTTTTGATTAAACAATTGAGGACTCTACTTTATTAATTATAAGTCATGTACCTAGAACCCCTGAAAGGCATCATTAATTAGACCATTAACTATATGGTTGTGTAATAACATAAAAAGTGAATACGGGGGATTTTGTTCAATGACTGAAGACAAATCATGGAGGGAAATTTGAATTTGAAAATGTGATCCAGTACAGCCCGGTGTGGGTGCAAACATGCCCATGTAACCCAAAGTGTAGAATGGAAAATTTTTGATTTTAATATAATAGTAATATGTGCCCTAAGAGTGTCATGTGAGTCTATGGAGTTAAAACACTAATGTTCCAAAACTCTTTCCAGTTTTTGTTAGTTTGTAGATGAGAACCCCGATGCCGTAAAGTCAGGCTTCCTCATCATATGTTACAGTATTGGGGCCCAAAACTTACTCCGTCCTCATCTAATCAAACGAAGAACTTTTGTTAAATGTCAAAAACTCAAGTCCACAGAATGTTAATTTTTTAAAAATGTATTTTGTAGATTGAGTTCTGGAAATGTCTTATTCGTTTTTATTTATTCATTCAGTTTAATATGGTCCAGAGAAGTCCTCTGTGGATCTAATATGATATTGGTGTTAGTTCACATCGTCAGCGAATAAAATGTCAGTGCAGAGTTAGAACCTAAACAACTGAATCTTGTAATATATTACGGAATGAAGTACAGCAAGGCACAGTTAAGGGTTCGCATTAAAATTTGAGTGGATGGATCTTAACATAATCACATGGGAAAAGCTAAGAGAGAAATGTGAAACCCGGGAATTGTGGGAAAAGGAGTGAATAGGCTATGTAGCTATGGTAGGGAGGGATTGTGGTTGAAACTAGATATCGATTGGGTTCTTGTCTTTTTTCACTCCCTTACAAAGTTTTTATTTTCTCTTTAAAAACATGCAATGGTGCTTGAGCTTTGCTTTGTCGTTTCTTCATTATAAGCTGTCATCAGTGGAATTTCAGTTCTTTTTAAAGAAATATTATGGGGTTGTGATGATAGGGTAGCTCACAGTGCACTTGGGTGTTACAGCTTACTTTTTGTGAGTTGCAGTCCACTGGAAATGAAAAACAGCAACACTCAATTGGCCAACTACGATCCATTAACTCTGATTCTGTGGAGTACAATCACTTTGCACTACAAAAAATTGGAATTAATCAGAACTAAATAGGATGTGAGGGTACCAGGGTTCATTAGACTGAATACAACAAATTGGGCATGTTTCAATAGGAGAAAATAATAAGCAGTGTGCTCTTTTCTCATGGCTGAATATTGTGCCTTTAAACAAGAAACTAAATATTTTCACAGGGTTAACTTATAACTAGGCCATAGGCTTTAAAAAAATAATAAACTTGTACTTTTTTAAAAGAAGAAATAAACCAACAATATTGTTGACTTTTGTGATATATATGCTATATGTACTGTATATATACTGTAGTTATGACATTCCAGCATTATGATGACAATCTGTAAATACAAAAATATAATCTTGTCTGCTGGTATGTTTTCTTTTCGTAGATTCTATTGTTACTAATGATGTTGTTGCTGTTAGTGTAATAGTTGCTTTTTAAATAGATCAGGGCTGCCCAATTCCAGTCCTGGAGGGCCAGTTTGCATCTGAGTTTGCAGATTTCCCTGCACTGTTCAACTCACCAGCTAATTGCCAGGTTTGGTAGTTGTGTTTGAGGAGGAAAATCTACAAACTGATTTGGCAAACCAGGACGGGAACTGGGCAGTGCTGAAGATGACGAAGGTGATTCAAGAGAAAATGATACAGCACTGTATAGCTGCCAGTAAAGGCCACTGATCTGATATGAACTTACCTTCCCCTCAAACAATGATTTTGGGCATAAGAACTGATGACTTCAATCAAAGCTCTGTAAGGAACCATTGTGTGTTGGGCTGCTGTAAATGTATGTGCATTCACCTTCTTAGTGCATTTGCCTGTACATTTTGAAGTGCAGGTTAGGTTTGTCTGTACATCTTGTGGTCAAAGTGGGGTCATAACAAGGGTCCCAGTATGCAGACTAATATCCCTCCAAAAGCAAAAGGACCAGAATGTGTGTTGACAAAAAGACAAACATGTCAGATATGGCCATGGAATGGAATTTCAACACGACTTGGAGATCAACTTGGAGATTTTGTCACTTCTGCCTGGCAAAAGAGACATAAAACAGTGGGAGACAATGTACTGTAAAAACACTGTAACTTCTCTTGCAGAAGGTCCTTTGGATCAAATCCCTCTAAGCACTACTACCTTAAGAACATGGTATTCCCTGGCAGATATCAACTCAGGGATGTTGCAAAACGCTAGCAAAACCAGTAAAAGTGGCAGCGAGCTAGAAACAGTTGATTTGGTTGCAAAGCTTTGGGACTCACCTGCTCTACTGAATTTCCAGTCACTAATGCCGTATGTAAAACACCATTTTGTTAAAATCTACTGTCGACAGCTTCTTGTAATCACTTACAGACCTGAAGTAATGTTAATCATCCTTAGATGATAACAAAATCTGCAAATGTATTCATAATTGATTTTTTAGTCTATTGTGAAATATATGTACACGTCTCAATGCTGTAAAGTAACATGCTTTTGATATGACATAAACACAAAAAGAAATAAATAAAATGTAGCGCTCTACTGTGAGTTTGCATCGATATCAATAAATACAGTTTAAAGCAGACTGCACCTATTACTGACCACAACTTCTTTGAAAGTCATTTTACCAGTAACAAAGTACTGGTGTCAAAATAGATACACATAGTATACCTGTAGGTGTGTAAGTATGTAAACTGTGATATACAGAATGAATACCTTCCTTGCTTTACTGTCTATTTATATTGGTACAAAATAACTGTCATGTTAAAAACCTGCATTTGTTCAATTTAATTGATTCAAATTAAAGGTTATGAATTAAGTTTACTCAGTAAAAATACACACTTTATCACATGTGTTAGAACTTATAGAATTACTTACATATTGCACAGTATTGCATGTACTGATATCCCTTAATTTTGTATAGGCCATCCTTTGGAAGGCCGGTAAAAAGAAGCATATAATCTTTTCCTGGTGTCTCCTCCAAGCATGACAAATATTTTCCCATATTCAAAGAGTTTTTTACCTCTATTTAGAGGATAATTCTGAAAAACAGAAGCGTAGATTAACTACATATTTCTGTATGAATTTTTTTGCATCATTGTAAACGAATTATTTTAATTTCTATGACTCTATTAATATATTTAATTTGTATTACACAGTAACCTTCTGTGGGGGGCACAGTGGTGCAATGGTTCGCATTGTTTCTGCCATGGCCCCATGTGTGCATGTTCTCCTTGTGTCATCATCTGGGTTCTTTGGATTCCTCCACAGTCCAAAAACATGCTGAGGTGAATTGGAGTCACCATGATGTGTGCACACAGGAGTGCACCCTGAAATGGGCTGGTGCCCCATCCTGGGTTATTTTCTGCCTTGCACCCATAGCTTCCACTTGTGACCCTGCATAGCACAGACAGGTATAAAAACTGGATACATTTCCTTATTTTTAGTTGTGAAACTACTGTACTAAGTAAAATATTTGTACCGTGGTCATGAATTATAATAATATATTAAAGAAATACAAAAAGCAAAACTGCAAGAAAAACCCACAAAAAAGATTTAGAAAAACAATAAGACATGAAAAAGAAATGTTTTCACATTTTTTTCTGTGTTCTCAGTGTTTCGTGTTGTCTTTATTTTATATTTTCTTAATTGGTTTGTGTTTTCAGATATTTTTACATTTACTTAATGTGTTTTGTACTTCTGGGATGTGCTCCATGCCACATGGAGTAGTTAGCTGAATTGATTAAAACACAGAGTTATTTATATATTTGTCCGTTTCATTACTTGGTATGTCCTTTTTTATTTTATTCTATATTGTAAATCATCTTTCTTTTAATACATTACATATTTATTTTTATCCCAGAACATCTCTCTTTTGATATGTATTAATTTATTTTTATTTATTATTCTATGCTAATGTTCTGTGTCTATTTTTATCCTCCTTTTACATCCCACCATTTATACTTTTATTTTGTAGTTGCTTGTAGTTTTTCTCTTCCTTTATTTATCTTTATCACATTTATTTATCTACATGTCATGACTTTATCTTTTCCTTTTTATTAACTCACCATTCAGAATTTTACTCACCTCTGGTGTTTCCTCATGCAAATTTCTGAAATCTGTGATAACGTTTCCTCAGTTCCTGTTTCTATTGTCAGTTCCTGTTTTTATTGTCAGGTCTATTCTTTTATTATTTACTTATCTATTTATTTGTTTATTTACTTAATTATTTATAACTGTCATGTCTTTCGTCCCTTTATTTTACATACTTTGGGTGAGGGTGACAGTAGGGGTGGGTTGATATTGTTTTTTATTATGTAAAGTACTTTATGTTGCATTGTATTTGTAGGAAAAGTGCTATATAAATAAAGTCTGATTGATTGATTGATTACCTAATTGAAATTCCCCTAGTTTACCATTCTGTTTATCCTATAGGACTGCTAAGCTTAAACCAAACCTATAAATTTAGTTAGTTGGCTAGTCTGCACTGTAAGTTTTGAAGAGAGAACAATGTCAGCTGTGAGTTGTGACTTGTGGAAGGATTGATTGGAACTAAGTTGGGGGAAAAAAAGTTTCATGCTAACTAGCTTTGTGGGATTTTGATCAGTGGCCTTTTCAGGGAAAACTGATACAAGCTACAAATGAACATGAAAGTCAACCACTTGACCACAAAATTTCTTTTCAATGTGGTGGTGGAATCAACATAATATGACTGATTGGTGGAAGAAACAAAATAAGTAAAATGGGTAGCTTAAAAACAACTAAATAACACATTAAGAAAACAAAACTAACAAAACAAACAACAACAATAAGGAACCACAAAACAATAACACACAAAAGCATTTAAGAGGACACAAAAACCAGAAAACACTTCCGAAAACATTTGTTCTTTATTAATGTTTTGGCAGTTAATCTGTGTTTTATGGTTCCTTTGTGTGTGTGTGTGTGTGTGTGTGTGTGTGCGCGCATTTTGCGTTTTCCTAAACGTGTTTCATATCAAATTAGCATAACAGATGATCATTTACGTCAAGATGGGCTGCACCCTTAAGCAGGTTTTTAATACTTTAAAAGTTCCAAATGAATAAGAACAAGTATGATGGAGAATCTTATTATTTGACATTTGTAGAAACATATTCATTAAGATGAAAATGTATTATTAACAAATGAAATAAACAAAACAGGTATATATTTTTGGCAAACCAAACACAGCTTATTGTTTGCTATTTTATAGTTGTTGCTTAAAATGTCGATTTGCACCAGGTGGAACTGTGTACCATGTTAGAAGGGAGACAATTGCCAAACCCATTACCTCAGCTCTGTGAAATGTTTGAATAAATAATTTTTTGCGAATTACATAGGTCAGTGCGTATTTCATTCATGAAAGCACACTATTTGCATAGTGTCACACAAAAAATATTGAATATATTTTTGCTATTTCACATTTGTTTACATTTTGACAGCTTTAATCAATGAAGTCTGTATTTCCTAGTGATCATTAGATTCTTGTTTATGGAAGGATTGATAATTTTCTGATTTAGTAAGTCATTTGCCAGGTGTCCAAGAGGGATTGCTTACTCCCCATACTGGCAAAGGTCTGAGTGGCAAACAATGAGCTTAGATAAGCACTCAGATGCATGAAAATAGCCAGCTTTTCTAAATGCGCTGACACATTTTAACGGCAATGCATATCAGCATTAAGCTATTCATGAGAGAACGACATAGCAGCTGTGAAAGAACAGAAAATCATTAAGCAGTGAAAGCATTTAGATGTGATTTTGATGTGTTTATTTAGATCCAGCTCTTCTGGTCTCAAGCAGTTTTTAAACTAAATTATAGTGATAACAGACTAATAGGCATTTATCTAACTTTAGAAGCTTACTAATAACGTAAATCAGGAAGATGTATAATGCAGAAACATTATCCTCTTCATATTTATTTTGATGGTGTTATAAACCTTTATGTTTTACCAGAGAAGGTACTAGATATACTTTTACATTGCAAGTATCCCCGAAGTCTGGAACCACATAGCCCCCCCCCAAGATGATGGTGTTGTTGTGTTACATTTGCGGTGTTGATTAACTGAAAGCTGGCAAAATGAGCTGAAAATGCCTCGTCATTTATACATTCATGGTGTTATGTGATTGGTGTCATTGGGTTTTTTTTTCTCGTCCATGACTTCACTGATATGGTTTGTAGTTAAGATCGTGGCACAATCTGTAAGGGAGGAGAATGTGAAGAACAGATGTGTAGAGCAGATAAGTGACTGGGCCAGCAATACTTATTTTCAGCCTATAAACATCACTATTGCTTTGCAGATAAATTACTCTCAGCTCAATTTTGATGTTCCCTGATCCCTGAACAAAGACGTTTTTAATTTAGATTTGATGTCTTAAAAAAAGTTGATTCCCATAAATAAACTAATTTTCCAGACACAGAAACACATATGAATCACCTTCGAAACTTAATAGATTTCATGAGAAATGATATTCAGATTATACAATAAACACGGCTCTGGAAAAATCTGAAAAACAACACAATTTTTTGTTTCATTCATTTCTCAGTTTATGGGTGTGCATCTGTGTATAATATATATATTTTTTTGCAAACTGCAGCCTGGTTCTTCTCTGTTTCTCATTAATGAACGGCTTCTTCCCTAATTTATGGGACTTCAGTCCCAACAGACTGAGCCTTCTTTTTACTGATTTCAACAGTGATCCTTGTGATCACTGTACATGATCACAAGCATACAAAAATGAAATATGTAGTGTGGGTAATTCACTATGTAGCACAATATAGCAATAACAATCCTTTTGGTTAGCAGAGTGAAACCAACAATGTATGGATTTCTTAACATAAAATCACATCCATGAGTAAATACTTAATGAAACTTGAATAAGAAAATTTTGTTAAATTACAACAGCTATGGTCTTTTTGTGGTTTGTGGTTGCCTTAGTATCAATTGCAGTGTTAGCATTATTGTTTGCAATGTTTCTCAGCTTCTTAGCTTAGGTTGTCTACAAGTTTGGTGCCAAAATCTACAATGAACCACAATTTAATTAGAGCTGAATTCTTTACAGGTGAATTATATCAGTCAATAAGTGTGCATGTTTGACTCCGATACAATAGGTGGGGATGTGGCTCCTCCTTTTTCATGGTTGACCTGTTATGTCACAGATATAAAAAAAATAATAAAATCAATAATAATGGATGCGTGGATGCATGACAAAAGCTTTAATTGTGATCTGGTCAGAA